AGAGGCAGGTGAGGAGGTAATGCTTTGGGAGATAAAGCCCAGTGTCTTTGTAGCTGCAAAGGGCTTAGCTTGCCAACGGGCTGGTGGAACTGGGCGGGGTGGGGGGGAAAGATGTGCAGTGGGTGAGCATCGTTAAGCTAGCGCTGTTGTTCAGAGAAACAGCTGTAATTCTGCCTAAGTTTAGGCATCCAAAGCATGTGTGCTTGGGGAATCATCAGTAAATGACATCTTAGATGTGCTGTTTCCTTCTGGTAGGGATACTCTCATTATCTAAATTCTTAAGATTTAGGCACTTCACCGTGTAGGATGAGCCCAGGCCTTAGTTCTTCTACCCCTCCAAATCCTTCCCATCAGAGCTCTTCTTGCTTCTCACGAGGCAGAAACAAGTTTGCAGGTAGTAACCGCAAACGAGCTGATGCGCAGCAGGATTCGTCAGCGTTGTCTCTCATGGAATCTTGTGCCTTCATGCCCTAACGGGAAATGTCTCCTGAGCAGACAAGTGGTAAACCGTTCTGAGCTAAGCGTCTTCCTACAAGAGTAAGTGCGTGCCGAGGGGACGGCACCATTCTGTAGTGTGCTCAGGGCCATGCCGCTCCTGTACAGACACGCTGTGAGGCACTCCACAGGCAATTGCAGCCTTTAGATAATTAACACAGCTCCCTATTGCCAATCGATTCCTCCCACGTCTTACTCCACCCAGCTTTCTCTTCAGCAAGAAAATAATTCACCCACTTATTTGTGCCTAGTGCCTTATGAAGTCTTGCCTCTCATCAAGAATGATTACTGGAAAACGCACTCTGCTATTTCGTTATCCCACATGCCATTTGCAGTTGCCAACTTGAGGCTGAAACTAACGTTTATGACACAGCCACGCTATGTCTTGCACCTCATTTGGGGTCTGTCCGTACAAACTGCCAAGCAGTCAGACTTCAGAGTGCCTTGAACTGCACTGCCTGATGCTAACACGCTGTGTGGATACTCTAGGACTGCAGCAGCAGTGGGATTAGACAAGGTAACAAGCTCCACTCAGAAGTCACTGGCCTCTGGTGTTTGTGCCCAGTCTCTGACTTACAGAAGCACCACTGCCTGAGAGGCTGCTTCGTGCCCCAGATTAAAGAATTTGCATGCTAAAAGCAAATGTTTTGATAACGTTGAAAGTTGAGGTCAGGTTCACAGTGCAGCTCCACAAACAGCTGAGCATGCACAAGAGGAAGCAGGAGTTGCTCAAGGCAAGGTGGAGAAAAGAGATCAGAACCATAGGCGGGTAATGCTACCAAAGCTGAAGCCCAGTTTGATATCTGCTGCATCTGAAGAGAGTTGAGTTTTAGTTTCATACTCTAGTCATTTGGAAAGGAATCAGCTTTGTTACTTTCTCCATGCAAGATTCCCTGCTAGTAAGCAGGTCATGTTTTGTCTTTGTGTTTTGCTGAAGCATCTTGTTTTACCTTATACACTTGCTTGGCAGAGGAGACATCATGATCAGGCAGCTGGATTTCCCAAGGCACTGCATTCTGGATGCCCTGACCCATGTGATTTCCCAAAATGTGGGAAATTTGGCTACATAACTTGTAGTAATGGGGGACTGCTCTAGCAGGGGCCTTGGACTAGAAGCTCTTCAGAGATCCCTTCCAGCCCCAACCATTCTGTGGTTCTGTGATCTCCTGATATCAGAGCTTTGAAATAATGATTAAAGGAAGTGGTTGAGTGTTTTTAAAAGGACTTAAACCCCTGAATTTCCATGAGTGACACTTTTCTTTTAGTTTGCAATGCTCTCAACTGCTGTTTCTCTCTTTCTCCATAGGAATTGATTTGTCAGAATGTCTGCAGTATCCAGACTTCAGTGTTGTTGTCCTTTACAAGAAAGTTATCATTGCCTTCGGCTTCATGGTGCCAGACGTGAAGTACAATGAAGCTTACATCTCTTTTCTGTTAGTTCACCCTGAGTGGAGGAGAGCTGGGATTGCAACCTTCATGATCTACCATCTTATCCAGGTAATGAAACAGTCCCATGACTCTGCCACAGAACCAGTCTCCCTTTTTCCTTGTGACCACACACGCGAATATTAGACAGTAAGTTGTGTTGTGTTCTTCCCTTCTGGCTCTTTCACCTTGCCCATTCTCTGCTTACTCGCCTACACAGACTGTCAGCAGCCTGTGTGAATGTTTATGGGGGGAAAAAACTTCAACAACAGAAGCTAAAATGTATTTAGAAGAATAGCTATACTGGTCAGGTCCTCAGAATTAGTGAGATGCGGTACACTTTAACTGTCTTACCTAATAGTAATACTGTAAATGGGAGGTTTAAAGGAGAAAATGAGATAATAGTGGGGAGGCTCAGTTAGACTCTGTTGCAGCTTTTTCGGCTACACCTGGAGATTTATTCCGTGACCAGGGCCATCGCATTTAATCACTTACTGATCTTAATCATTCTCTTTCACTTTTAATAATCTGGTTCAAATCCAGCTGAATTGAAGATAAAGAGTAAGTGTTTGCAGCCTCATTCAAATTTGTTCAAACTAGTTTGACTGAGCCTTGTTCCACAGGAAGACATGGAAAAATTAATCTGAGCTGACTAAACGGGTGGTATTAAAGTAGTTAAACTTCATTAAATCTTTGAATACTGTTATTCAGGTGGCTTGAATTCCATTTACTCTCTTGAATTAAATTGCAGGAAAGCCAGCTCAATTTTGAGTAAGGATGCACATATATGTCCTTCTCAGAGCCCAACTGCCTCTTCAGGACTCACAGTTTCACCACTCCCTGAAGTGAACTCTCTTGGCAGAGCTGCCAATGGGAAACATTTCGTACTTTGTTTTAGTCAAGATGAGCTGCACTAACAAAAACTTGCCATTGAAACTGTTTTTTCTCATACTTATCTGGCTGAAGAAATGTAGGGAGTGCTGGCAGAGCCTTGGGAACAGTGATCTGTGCTTTGGAAAAGCAGTTTCCACAGAGCATAGCTCTTCTGGGCCACCTGAGGGTAACTCTTCTACCTGTTCAGCTCTCTGCAGTGTCCACCTCTTTGCTTTACATGTTGACACAGGCCACTAACCAATGTACTTTAAATTCATCCCTTGCATTTCTTGAGCATCTCTGTGTGTTGAAGTAAATTGCCTTCAGCTGTAGTCTGTTGATGTGAGATGTCAACACCCAGAACAGGCACGTGCGATACACCAAGGCTTGCAGGGATCCAGCAGCTGGACTCTCCAGCAGAGTTCAGATGTGTTGGCAAGTCAACTGTAGAAAATCCTCACACCTCTTTGTAGGATGTATCACAGCCAATTAACTTAATCCTTCTTGCAGGTAGACTAGCATAATGTTACCATGTTGAGGAAAGCCAAGCAGATTTGAGGCTGATTAGGCTCACTAGCAATGAGAGATCACCATTGCACGTTTGGTTTATATTAGATTTATTTTTCCATTGCTGACTTTTTGTCAGTGATAGAAGGCATTTAACCATGTAGGAGAATAAATGGCAATTGTGACCTTCTGTTCCTCAATCACCAGATTGTAGGTGCTACTCCACAGCCTGCTTGGGCCTGGGGTCTACTCTCTGTAGCTAGAGACACTTTCTTACACTGTTTGGATTAAGGGTAATTCCTTGTCTTTCAGATCAGTGTGCTGAGTTTGGGGGTGAATTCTCGGGAACAGCATAACAACAGGAAATGTTTTGTGGCAAATGGTGGTGACTGGTTTGCTATCAGAAGTTACCCTGTAATGCACTTGGCCCAGAGAACCAAACTGCATTTTCTTAATGATTTCATTCATTTCCTTTTCCCCAAAACATCTCCCAATTTATTTTTTTCCTTCCTTCCCTATATCATTGTGAGAGCTTGTCCTTTTAATGTTCTACCTTGGAGATTTCCTAAAAGGTGTTACTGTTCCTGCTTAGAGTTACAATGTGTTCAATGTACACAGAGTGCTATTAAAACACTAGATGAAAGGAGAAAAAAAATTACTTCAGCACCTTTATCAGAGCATCGCTGGTTAGAATAATTTGGGATCTCTAAGGTAACTTCAGCGACACTATTTGCTGTCTGAACTGAATTTCCTGCGTTCCCAGGAGTGCTGTGCCCTGAAGGATGGGAGAGTAGCTGGGTGGGATAGACAGGAATTCCAGTGTGACAGCCCCGAGGTGTGCTGGGGCTGCTCACACAGTTCCAGAGAGCTCAGCTCTGTTTGCTGATGGGGAGGAGTTCGGCGCCTGATCCTCTGTCATGTTTTGTCTTTTCTTCAGGCCATTGTTAGTAAGTATTTGAGAGCAGTGCCATACACTGAGATTATTTTTAATTAACAATTACTTTAGTAATTGACAATGGAAAGATGACAAATTATAACTCCAATCCTGCTTTCATTGTCAGAGAGTCCATGTTTCCCAGAAACAAAGGCACGGAGCCACAGCAGCATTCCCTTTGCCTTTGCTGTTGCTATGTGTGGTAACTTCTATGCCAGGGCCTGCGATTTTCTCACATTTCTTCAGTAACGTGAATACCTGAAGTGATGAATCTCCTCACCTCCGCATTCCCCCAGAGGCTGTCTTGTTCTCTTGCTCTGATAAGTTTTTCCTCCCCCCTTCCCTTGGCAGACCTGCATGGGCAAAGACGTAACCCTTCACGTCTCTGCAAGCAACCCTGCTATGCTGCTCTACCAGAAGTTTGGATTTAAGACTGAGGAGTACATTTTGGATTTTTATGACAAGTACTATCCCTTGGACAGCAAGGAGTGCAAACACGCCTTCTTTCTCCGGCTGCGGCGCTGACCTGTCTGAGCTGTCTAGGGGTCTGTGAGAAGCACAAGCTGTCAAAAAAGCTACCACAGCTTTCAGTGGAGGAGGTCAGTTGCCACATGAGAGTGTGTTTATCCCTGTGACTTTGGATGTCAGCAGTGCTATGTTGTCTGCTGGAAATGCAATCCAAGAAGATTAACTCCTATGCTCCAAGGATAAAGGCCTGGAATTGCCAACTGGGATATGCTGAAACTACTGGAAGACTGATATTCTTTATGGGGAATTTTCCTGCCACTTACTTTGGAGAGTCTCACTGACAAACAAACAAACAAAAATCCCAAACAAAAAAACCTTGTCCCTTCAGAGGGGCTCCATGGATTTCAGATTTTGAAACCTGTCCCCAAAGTGTTGCAGCTTTTTGTTTCTGTTTCTGTTCATGAAAAAGAATGAACATCTAAACTTAAATCATACAGTGTTTCTGTGATTTTACTGCTTTGTTAGGAACCATGTCTTGAATCTGTGAAGGGAAATAAGATATTGGTGCATGTAGCTGGATGCTAACTTTAGGAATGCTCTACATATGCCAGAACAGCAATACTGGAGCCACATTTTAGGAATAGTGAAGAGTGTGTGAATTCATGTGATCCCAAATACAAGGCTCGGAGGAGACACCTTTCTTATGCTCCTTTCCTGTTGCCTTCCTTTTTCCTTATTGCCCCTGTGCTCAATGTGAACTTCTCGTAGTGCACAGTGTTTTGTGTTCAGGAACAAGGTGTCGAATGGGTTTGTATCTGGGCAAGGCAGGACACCACAGCTGCCAAATCAGCTCTTTGAAACCGTAAATCCAGTTGTTGGTGCTGCAGCTCACAGCTCTAACCACAGAGCCAGCCTTGCAGGCTCCAGCATCCACCTCCTCCTGCTACAGGCTAGAAGAAACACAGAGCAGTTGGTGATATTTGAAATGCAGGCTCTGGGTTGTGGAAGCAATCTGCGTGCAGCTTGAAGGGAGGAGAGGATAGAGGTGGGCCAGATCAGTTCTTGGAAGCATCTAGGCTGCCATTGCATGGTTATAAGTAAACAGTAGAGCGCAGAATAAATAGAAATAATGAAGAACTAAAAACCAAAACCCAAAGACAGTTTGTCTGGTGGTGGGGTGTGGGCCTTTTACACAGTTTAGCAGCTTCTCTCTCTCTCCCTGGCTTTCATTGCAGATGAACAGAAAGCTGGTGGCTTGCACTCACTGAGGTCAGTCTGTGCATTTTAACTAGGGATCATATCTGCCGTGATGTTCCTTTCACATCAAGCCCACACAGAACTACACACCCAATGTGACCTCTTTGTTCTTAAGCCACTGTGTACACATGTTGGCTACTTGGCTATCGAAGTAGTTGCCTTAATGGAGTCTTCATTTTGGTAATGGAAAAGAAAGGGACACAAGTATGTTTTTGTGTAGCCGGTGTACATCATTGCCA